GGCTAGAATATATACCTGCTCCGCACAACAACAAAAATAACTGTATCAGACTAAGTTAACCATTTTTTATGGTTAATTTCCTCGAAACTCTTGGATGTACCTGTTGGAAGGTGATTAATAGCGTGAAAAGTGGGCTCGATGTACCGAGTTCAAAGTCCAACCAAGGCCGATGCGTTTAGCTTTCACGAATATATGAATCAATTCCCCCCAAAACTATGGGTTAAATAGCAAAGCAAACTAGGCTATCTAGCTTTGGTTGGTAAAGACCATAACTTCGAAACCGGTTGAGTGTGAGGTTAGTAACTCCATCCCATAAAAACCTACTTGCCACAGAAATTCCACCAGGGTACTACCGTAGTGAAGCTGTGGCCGTATTATGCAGGACAGTCTAATATAATTGTTTGATTCGTTTTCTATGGCTTATCAAGCTTTTGCAGGTTATTTAAAACCAGAAAATATTTTTAGATTATAAGAATTTAAAAAAGGAAAATAATGCTTTCGCGATACACCTCTTACTAATTAATCCATAGCTGGGAGAGGAATAGATGGATTCATGCCTTTATCAAGGGTATTTGCGCGTAAGTGAATATAACGAACCCAAAGGTAATTTGAACCCAGCTCGCTGATTAACAATTCCGAACCATTACCCATTAGACCGTCCGCACATTCAAGCTTACAGTACCTGGTATTCTCAAGTGGTCACCCATCTAGGTACTGCCCAGGTTCTAAGTTGCTTAAAGTCAGTGATCGTACGGGAACCTGTAGTTTCAATGGCCGTAAGCAGTCTAATATATATTAACTTACAGCATACAAACATGGTTAACTTAGTCTGGCATAAGACCAGCGGATCAGCGATTGAGATCCTAATGCCCTTAATCATGAAATAGTCTACAAAGCCGACCTTTTTTCTTAACTCTTTAACTTGACTTGAAACAAAACACAATGACATAGTACTCAGTGGGACTCAAACTCCCAAAACCAAACTGCCAAATTAGCTCGTTAACCATCAGACTATGACAGGTAATCTGTATATATTAACCCATTAACTGCCAAATTTTTTAATACGCATTTTTGGCCCAGACAGGTGTCTTAGAAGTTTATTTATTCCTTATGTTTAATTTCAGTAGTTACCATTGTCGTTTTTTATAGAAACTAGAACATCAAATATATATGTGTATAAAACATCAAAAAATAATACTGATTAGAAATAATAAAAAAAATACTTTTCAAAATAGTTAATATTTTTCTACTCGTGAAATGTAAAATTAAGACAGAAAGTGTCTTCTTACGGCTAATAATAAAGAAAACTTTAAAGGCTAAGTGCTGTAAAATATACCTCTTCAAATGCAATATATGTAAGCAATTTAATGTAAATACAAGGAATAACATGTAGTGAGTTTAATTTTAACAGATTCCCAAATGGGGCTCATGGCAGGTAATGGGTTAAGATCTATCAAAAGTATTTTCTTTTTTTAAGCGAATGTAATGCTCTGCATGAAGACAGCGGCCAGAGTGAAGGGTTTCCCAGATAGAATTTACGGCCATCTGTCCGTAACCGAAGCGAACCTTCAATCTGGAAAAAAATTGACTATGGATTGATCTGGAGAGGAATGGGCTCCGTCAGGTTTACTGGCCCTAGATACGTTACGTATGAATGAATACATCTCCGGCTTTCAACACATATATTTCGATGGAACTGGTGAAGTTCTCAGCTGCGCAGTGACCCTACGACCACAACCGGTCATGATATTGATGATGATGATTATGATGAAGGCGCTATATATGACATCTTGAGATGACCGTAGCTATTCTGGAAGACTTTCAGCGCTGGTCGTTGCTCTTCTCTACTTTTCATTTAAAATCCTAATAATAAAAAATGGGGGCACCTCGGCGTGGTGTAATGGTTAGCAAGCTAGAACGACTTAGTAGAGAATTCGATCCTCACTGGGCACCTCATAGTTTTGGCCTTGTGTCACATCGAAGCTGCGCTTAGAAAATATAATAATAATAATAATAATAATAAACTAATGGTCGTCCAATCCTGTGCGTTATTTCAAAGGACAAAGACCCACCCTTGAAATGCTTCAATCAGTTTTAGAGAGTAAAGTCAGATATTATATCATTCCTCCGAATTCTTTGAGTAGATTTAATGATTTGAAAGCCCAGTTTAAAATAAAATTTCAAAATTACCAGAATCTCAATACTTGTATCCGCCATTACCACATCTAAAACAAGAGTTACAGTTGAATAGTATCAATAATATGCTATATATTTAACTAAAATTAAAGTATGTGGTATGAGGGGATATTGTTATGCAAATCGCTGACTGTTCGAGTAGCTACGCAATATGCCGAATTTGGAGGAAATAAATAATATTCACATACAATGCCTGATAAAGCTAATAGCGAAACTTAAATCGCCTGAAATTTCTTAATATTTGTATTTTAAACACGATTTTATATATAGCGGAGTCATACAAAGTTTTTTGGTGCATATATGAAATAAACTCTGGAGTAAAAAAAATGTAAATACTTTTGATGCAAGCTAATGTACTGTTGATTTATAGCCATACTGTTGAATTTGATACAAGGTTTTATTATACTACCTTTTATGCCTTATCTTCAGAACTTACCTTTGAATTGTTATATAACCAACTTATTTATTGATAAAGCTTTACACTGATTATAAGTCAACATTGGATTTTCTCATTACTTTGCAAGTTGATGTAATTTTTAAGCATTTCACCCCAAGCAAAATGGGAGTGCCACTAGTACGCAATGGGCTACAGAGAGTGAAAGTAAGGGAAAAGACTGGGTATAAGGGAAAGGATGTCGATTTACATTATCAGAGATGCAACTAAGAGGAAGGGAGTTCCACTGTCGGGAAGTGCGAGAGAAGAAGTTGGAGTAGAAGAGGCGGTTACATTTAACTGTTTCGACAGTAAGAGAGTTGGATCGAGATAACAACCCAATAGCATGCTTAGATTCGTGCAGTCGGGGCACCAGTGAAAATAGCTCGTCAGAGCAGTTGTCATGAAAATATTTATAGAAAAGACAGAGTGAAGCCACACTACGTCGGTGAATAAGTGACTGAAAACGAGACCCCAAGTCAGGACTGATTACATTGCATATCCGTCTTTGGATTTTGTCGAGAACCTCGAGATGAACAGCGGGGGCACCAGACCATATATGGCAACAGTATTCTACGCATGGACGAATGGTAGATTTGTAGATGTGAAGGATGGACTCAGACGTGAAACACCTTATGGCGCGACACAGAGAAACAACTTTCCTTGCGGAAGATGCTGCTATATCTGCAATGGTGGATTAAGAAAAACTTATTAGATTATTTTTTTTTTCAGTTAGATTTACTTCATGACGGCTTAAAAGAAAGCCAGGCTTGAAAAGTGTCCATCGCTTTTGAATCTTTCAAACGTTTTTATATTTTTTGAACTCATGTAATGCGCTGCATATTTCATATTTCAATGATCTTCGTTCCTTTGAAAGTTTTTGAATACTGGTTGTTCTTCTCCATGCATTTTAACCCTGCCTTACTCCCATGGGGGTGTTCTATTACCCCACCACAACAATTTTTAAAGTACTCCTAATTCCTAGTTGGCAACTTTTTTCTTTTGCTCCTTCCCACTATTCTCCTGAAACAGGGTGTGTAGTACGTTGTGTGACGCAATTGTAGCTCAGTTGTCGTGGGTGGCAGACGCCAGGTGACTATCCATTTTCGGAAATCCGAAGTGATTAACGCAGGATTAAGGCTATTAGTAAACGGTGGTTATCTATTTCTATATTAAAAGGAAATGACCACATTACTATTGTACAAGCTCCATCGTTATTGGGTAACTCGCTATTATGACATTAATCCAGACTGAGATGAATATATATATATCTATAGTGCACTTATGCCAAATTAAGCTAACTTTAGGAAATATTTGGCACATAGTCACAACACTAGAGTACCTAATGAGGATTGAACCCACGAGCAATGGCTTTCGAAATCCGTACGTTACACGTCGCTCTATGTTAGATGTCTAGGAGATGTGAATATATTTACTATGCTTTGTTTGTCTGGCATAATGTTACGGCATTGTAGCACTTACATTGTCTTTTCAGGCCAGTTCTTATTCCTTTTCGTTTAAGTATTGTTACTTCTTTCTGTCTTTCAAAGATAACCGAATGCGACATGCCCTTGGCGAAGATAGGAATAACATATCGGCTGAAACACTGAGGAGAGATAATCAAAATGAGGATATTTGGTCGAAACCTCTTTATTTAGCAGATTGTTATTGTCAAATCGTAACGTTTCGACTGATACGCTCTCCGACCTTCCTAGTTTTGTTTGAAGTCAATAATGAAGTATTGTCTTTCTTCCCTGAATAATTGAAACATCTATAGTTAACTTTATCTGATCGTAACGTTTCGACTGATACGCTCTTCGACCTTCCTAGTGTTGTTTGAAGTCAATAATGAAGTATTGTCTTTCTTCCACAAATCATTCCAAACATCTATAATCATCTTTATCTGATCGTAACGTTTCGACTGATACGCTCTCCGATCTTCTTTGTTCTATTGTCTCTTCCACAAATCATAATGCGGTAATCATCTTTTCTGATCGTAACGTTTCGATTACGATCTTCAAACATCGTGTTGTTTGACATGTGCATTTGAAGGTCTTCCAAAATTTCCAAACATCAATAATCATCTTTATCTGATCAACGTTTCGACTAGACTCTCCGACCTTCTAGTGTTGTTTCGAAAATAATGAAGTATTGTCTTTCTTCCAACCATTCAAACATCAATAATTCTTTATCTGATCGTAACATTTCCGACCCACCTTCGTTCTCAATAATGAAGTTTGTCTTTCTTCCACAAATCATTCCAAACATCTATAATCATCTTTATCTGATCGTAACGTTTCGACTGATACGCTCTCCGATCTTCTTTGTTCTATCTGACATTCTATAATGCGGTATTATCTTTTCTTTCACGAATTACTCAAACATCGGTCTATGACATGTGCATTGAAGGTGTTCCAAAGTTACAGATATATGTCTACAGGTAGACTGTGTGTCGAAAATGCTAGCGAACCGTCATCTTTCCCAACATTCCGACCCATCTTCGTTCTCAGTTTCAGTCTTTCTCTTTCTCCTCCTCATCTTTCTGCAGTCTCTGCCTACTCGTGGCCAGCAACGTCCGATTACAAAGAATAATCTAAAATAAAAGAACGTCTGATTACAAAGAACAATCCAAAATAGAGTGCCTTATGTAGCTGATGCTGACGATGGTAACGACCACGACCACGACCGGAGACGCCGTTTATTTTTAACTGCTATAAACAGGAATGAAAACAAGGCGGCGATTAAAATTGTGATAAATTAGAGAGAATAAAGCAATCAAAAAAGTAAAAAGGGGGCAAGTAATTGCGTTACTGAGTGACCCTCTCATTTTACTGGTTGCAGAAGCAACAGATTTTTGTGGAACAAGAGAAATACATTGCCAAATTGAGAAGAATCGATATTGTCTGATGTTCTATGATGAAATATTGTATTGAATTATTCCAACTTATATCCTCATCTTTACCGATCCAACGCAGTTTCGAGTTCTCTCTCATTCCGTCTGAAACTTTAGCATTAAATATTATCTTCCCCAACAACGAATTTTTCTATAATGTATCTCCATCATTATTGATCAGATCCCAACGTTTCGACCGATACGCTCGCCGGCCTTTTTGTTGGTGTTTGAAGTTAACAATAATGTAT